TCAACCAAGTAGGTGGAAATAAAATTCTGGACTCTGGCCCCCAAAACAATATGAATAGGAAACAGAGAAGAAGGAATTTTAGATATGGAAAATAATAGAATGTAAACTCCATGATGGCAGGCATTTTTTATTTGTCTGCTTCTCTAGAGCAGGGCTGACAAATTACGGGCCATGAGCCAAAATCTGACCTGCCACGTGTTTCTGCAAATGAAGCTTTTTTGGAATACAGCCAGGCTTGTTGGGTTATCCATGTCTATGGCTGCTTTCACGCTACAATGACAGAATCGAATACTTGCAGCAGAAACTCGGTGGCCCACAGTGCCCAAAATATTAACTATCTGACCCTTTACAGAGAGTTTGCCTAGAACCAAGAGTGGTGCCTAGGAGACACCAGATCTTTAAAAACAAACAGACAACAACAACAACAACAAAACACTTGCTTAATAAAATAAACAAACATGCAATTACTATTTGCATAAGAAAAAGCACAGTGAAAGAAAATTCCAAGGGCCACAGGGCTAAGAATAAAGAATGTATATAAATGGGAAAAGGCCCATTACAGAAAAGGCACGGAGAAGCAGGCTGCAATTTATTAAGAATAATATGCTTTAGCCATACGTGTTCCCAGAGGGGAAGAGATTAAGAATATTCACTATAAGTGAGACTGGGAGTCCAAGTAGAGGAATAACAGTTATTTTTTTAAATAACACAATGATTATTTCTCGAAAACCTTCAACAATTTCTCTATTATTTACTGAATGAAGTCTCAGAGGCCATTCATAAAGTGCTTTCTAACCATCTCTCCAGTGTTATCTTCCAATACGCTCAGTTTCAAATCATTGACTCATTATTTCTCAGCAAATCACACAAATTTGTATGGAGCATCTTCCCTTCATATGTGCTCTTCCTAGAAAGATTATCTTTCCGGAATATCACTAGCATAAGTCCTATATTTCCTTTAAAGAACAGATCAAGTTCTACTGCTTCGTAACATCCAACAGTCAATAGCCCTACTTTCCTCTAAACCCTATGGCACATGTGCACTGAGTTCTTTAGACACATCGTATAGATCTTTTAATGTACGTATTTCTCAATTAGACCTTAAGTCCCTTAAAACTAAATACAAAACCTTATTTCATAAGCCCAGCCCCTATTTCAGAATATACTTTTATATTTTGCTTTCTAAATACTTAACATTATAACATAATCATATTCCTAAGTAATTAGAAAGGCTCAGGAACACTCATTAACCTCAAGGCAGGATACATTCTTATTGTTCTGTTTCTAATACAGCAATGCAGAGCTAATAGGGATCATCACAGTAAGCTTCAGTGAGCAATACCGTTGGGCTAGGTCCTAGAAATATAAAAAAATATAACATGAAACATGCCTTTTCTGCCAAAGGAAATGACAATTACTTGGCATAGCTTTCCTGAAAACAGTAGCACTTGTGATTTAAATAAGGAGGTTATGTTTGACATTTAAATCAGGAGGAAATGAAATTACATGTGGGAAGTGAAAATCAATTTCAAGGTAACAAAACTGTGAATAAAGAGTTCTGGGTGGGGATCAGTTAACTTTATATTTTTGAATAAAATATAAGATGATGACTAGAGAAAAACAGAGCATCAAGGGGAGACAGCACAGGGACTTCCCTGGCAGTCCAGTGGTTAAGACTTTGCCTTCCAATGCAGGGGGTGTGGGTTCGATCCCTGGTCGGGGAGCTAAGATCCCACATGCCTCTCAGCCAAAAACTAAAAAAGAAAAAAAGAAAAAAAAAAAAAGCCAGAAGCAATATTGTAACATATTTAATAGAGACTTCAAAAATGGTCCATATCAAAAAAAAAGAATCTTAAATAAAAAGGGGGAAGGGGGGAGAGAGCACAGTCTCTCCCATGCATTTATTTTGTCTCCGTTTCTACCATCCAAGACAGGGGCTGGGGGAACGGCAGCCACAAGCCAACAGTCACTAATGTCCCCAATCGGGGAACAACATTCAACCTACTCTAGAAAATAGCCTTTTTAAATTGGTCCAGCAGGATTTTTATACAAAAAACTTCATTATACCTCAGGCCATAATAATACCTAAGTAGCTTTAAAAATTTCTCTAACATTGACTTCACACTCTTCCAATTTTCCTGAATTATATTTGATACTCGAGATGTTCAGCATTGAGTTTCTTCTCTTTATGATGTTTAATTCCCATTCTGCACTGTTCCTCGAGACTTTCTGACTGAGAAATTGAAATCAGAAAGCAATACTGACATGCACGTGTCACTTTTAGGAAAATAAGTATTCAGTAAGTGTTATTCAATTAGTTACATCTTCCAAACTGAGAGGGCCCAAGTATGACTGGAAATTTGTACAAAGAAAGTTATTCTTGGAAATTTCAACTTACATCCCATGCATATGTATTCTTGTATTCCCACTGGATAATATGTGCAATTTCTTCACAAGTCCTGATTAATTTCTTCCTTTCTGCTATACTGCATTGCTTAATTTGCCCTTGCAGCCACCATTGAGCGGATGTAGCTCCCTTTATAAGCTGTCATCACAATTAAAATCATCTACAACAAGCCAACTTCAGTTAGCTAATTCAGACAATCACTCCTCTATCAGCTCACAGAACATCTATGATACAGGGATGTTGGTATTTATCACAATTATAATAGTGTGAGTTCTTGGCTATCACTCCATCTTGACTGCAAACCCCTGGAGAGAGACTGTGTCCTGTTCATCCTTGTCTCCCAGCACCTAACACAGGAACCATCACACGGTAAATGCTTGGGGAGGTTTCTGACTGACTGAGAAGAAACCACGTGTCAGCATTTCTGAGAACAAGTGAGATAGGTGTCCCTGGCTCCTGAAGACTGGCGTCTATGATTCTTCAGCAGTCCTCCTGCTGTTCTTTGCATTGTCAGCCTCACTCTGAAGAACCATGACTGTCAAGGTGATGAGGAAGCTCAAAGATGCATCACAAGTGTTGGGGGGAAAGAATTCTGTTCTGTTTCCCAATATGAAAACTAGTAATGCCAGAAAAGGATTTATAAAGAATCTCATTTTCTTAACCTCTTTGTCTCTTGTATAGGGAAGCTGTACAGGAGATTCTTCATTAAGTTGCCACATCAACAGGGATTAAAAATGACTCAGCTAGAAAACACCTTCTAGTTCTGTAAAGGGATCCTTGTCTCCTTGAATGTGTTCTGTATATCGAAACGAAACGCCATGGTAACCAGTAACTGCGGTCGATTTTGTGAAATGCCTTCCACTGAATTAATCTGCAGTAGATTTCTTTTTCTATCTTATACTTCTTTTGCTTTAGGCTTTTTAACCTATTTTATCCTAATATCCTTTCACACTGAGGTAGGAAATGTGTAATAAATGACAGAAAATAACACGTTTGTAATTGAAATGCTGGTTTAAAGCTGGTACGTACACGATTAAATCTCATTTGTGATGAGTTATATTCCACAAGCAGTTAAAGGCACACTAAAACTGGGAGGCTATCATCCGTGCATTTTACCCTCTTCTCATATCTTTCTACTCATGAAATACATGGAAAAAGGGTTTAACTTCTGAGATCACTTAAAATTATAATTTTTAAAGGAGATAAAGGCAAGGGCCATTTTGAAAACAACTAAGCTTATTTAACTGAAAGTCCTTTGAAGACACTTCAGTGACATTTCTCCAGAGTTTTAAAAAACAGAAGGAAGAAAGTGAAAGCAGTCATAACTCTGTGAATGTTAACACCCCCCCATCCCCAATTCAAGGTGAATTTCACATCTTGTTAGATATAACGCTCACATTCAAGCCTTGTACTCCAGCAGAGTTCTACATAAATCACAGTGTCAGCTTCCAGACCTTCCATAAGGCGTGTGCTTTACCAAAGACATGAAATCTGGACTCGATACTGTCAGGAACATATACCAGGAAGGCAGTACAACTGTTCAAATTATTTTGAACAATTAAGTAGATAACTCAATCACATGCTTGTAACTGATGTTTCCTCCATCTCTCACAATATACTGGACGCTTGGAATTCCTTGACAAGTGTTGAAACTATGTTCCTGTTCTTGGTCACTGGCCTAAGGTGACTTTCCAGCTCCCCCTTTTCTTCTCCCAGTGTAAAAGAAGTTAAAAAATCGATAAAATGATAACAATAAAAGAAGCTCAAACTAAGAAGCCAAATAGTTCATAAATATGTTTCATTGGGTAATAATTAGATGGGTAAATAAGAGAGGATGGAAATAAACTTCAAAGGCTAATGCCCGCCCCCCCGCCATGGGGAAGGAGGCAGCATTTCACTTGTGGATGATGGAGGCTCATCAAACATTTGATTAGCTGCAAATTCAGTTCATAGCATTTGAATACATATAAAAGCAAACATACACTAATTCTTTCAAAAAAAGAAAGCAGCAGGATAAAAGAAACTCATATAACATTTGACGTTTTTAAGGATATATGTTCTATGAAGTAATGAAGTCATACTAACAAATAGTACAAAATTTTGATATTTGAGTGGGCAGATTGAAGAGAAGGAGACACAAGTCACACAGTAGAAAATAAATCTATAGTTTGTCTAACTTAAAAAAATTTCAAACATAATCATAAAAATCATATAAAATTTAAGAACTAAATAAACATAAAAGCAAATTTTAAATGAATCATTTTCTATGTTATCTAGATAATTTTTATTGGATACATTTTTTCTAGAAAATTGCTTTCAGCTCTCCCTTACCTTTGAACATTCAGCTGGAGTTCTGGCTCTAAAGGCTACCATCAATTTGCATGGATGTGATGAACGAAAAAATTATTAGGATAATTTAAATGCCCGATTTCTTCATCAGCCTAAGTGTTTTCCGTGATTATAATGCAGTGACCCCCAAATGAAAAGCCTTCTATTAAGCATATGCTAAGTCAACATCACTCTATATCTGAGCATAAATGAAGATAAAACACTCCACATTATGATTCAATTAAAAACCTGCAAGATACGTTACCTGCCGCCTCGAGCACTGAAAGGCACTACATGGATTCCCAGAGGCCCTCCATCGTTGGGGACTTGTACGAGCTTTACCATATCACTGTGAGACAATATGATGAATGAGGGAGCATGAACATGGACCATCACAAACCGAAACTGAAACCAAACCAAACACAAAACCGCAACGACACAGACGCACAATAAACAACAAAGGAGGACAAAACGAAAAATCCCACCAGGCACACACACATATACATACACGTTCTGGAATAGAAGCATGGTGATGAGGGCACATTCAACTTTACATACCTGCACACTAGTCTGATGGCATGGGGTGGGGAGGGGGGAGCAATCATCAGAGATAACTACATTAAAAATGACACAGCACCGCTGCTCTCGGACCACACTCTTCTGTGTAGTCCAAGTATACATTTTGTGATCAAATCTCTAGACTTCTACTGGAAGTTTCCCATCCTAATATCTATTCAAGGACTACGAAGATTAATGGGATAAAGATGCGTCAGCTGCACAGCACTTTATAATTTACAAAGTGCTCCTACACATGTCACATCATTGATCCCCTCCCGCAAAAGTCCAATAAGGTCACAGCTTTGCCCCGGGAGGTGGCAATCCAGATGGGATACAGCCACCCTTACTTCCCAACTCAGAGCTCCACGGAAGGTCGCCACCCTACTTGCTGTAAGCTCACTGCATATGCAGGCAATGCAACCCCAAGGGATACCCGTAAAAAATCAAATGATTGTCCCAAGGGTGTCTGTAATTGAACTCTAAAGTCTTTAAGCTAATATATATCAAGTAACATGAAGTTACTTCTACCACATAACTACAGTACTTTAATATTAATATCAAAAGCCCGAGTTTAATGCAATTGGTATAATCTGGAGAATGTAAATTTTCTATGCCATTTCAATGAGATTCCACTTTCTTTGTAGGTATTTCTGTGGGTGTGAGTACTGCACAGAAACCTAAGCAGTCCTGATCTAACAATCAATATTTGGAAATACTATTTCAATTACATATCTAGCTTTAAGCAATCTGGACAACCATAAGTGATTACAAATGGACTTGACCAAGATCACGATATAGTTTTTATGCAATGGAAAACGCCAATGCTACAACTGTATTTCTATGTGTACAGATTCAATCACATATACTAATTAGGACAAAACTGAAATTTTTTCATATTGCCCACAAATTTACTAAAGTAATACTATTTAAATGGATATTTAATTTTTTTCTATTTTCATAGAATTTCCTAAAATCCTATTTGAGATACTGTTAATAACATTTGAACATGTATTTAATGACTGGTTTGTCAACTAAGATGGTTTGCCAACTAGTATGGTAATTTTAATACATTTATTTTATTTTCTTTTCTTTCTCAAAAGAACTATGACAGTGCAAGTGTTTCTTAAGTGTGTAAATACTTAGAGAATGCTGGTTGCTGAATATCCAAACATAATCTGATTCGAAGCCTGTTTAATCTCACTGAGAAAGTTCTTATAGCCCTCCCTTGGAAGACCAAGAAAAGACAAAATTAAGAGTTTAATTATTAACATCTGGACCCCAACTTTTACCCAAAATCAAAGAAAAAATTTAGCATGACTGCCCTCCCTGCTCTAAGGTAACTTAGAAGAAGTCTTGAGAACATCTTCCATTCAAACCTGCCATTATTTAAGATAGTTGTAAAGTTGTGACAATATATGGAAGTTTTTCTTTGACCTTTTACAGTTTAAATCATGTTCAAGATCCCTAACCTGTAATTTTTTATCAAATATCTTAAGAGATGCTATTTCTTCAAATCAAAAAAATATACACTAAAATGAGTAATGCTTGCATGATTCAACTAGTTTTTCAAGTAAATTATGTCCACAATTTCTTTTTTAATTTAGCAAAGTTGAAGAACAAACAAATGACCAAAATACTGACATACAAAAGCAATCTGAAAACAGTTACAGTGCTGTGAACATAACAGACTTTTTTCAATCAAATACTATTTTATATTATCATTTAATAGTACTTGCCAAGGCATGAAACTCAGAGCAGGTACATGGGAATTTCCATGCTATAGTTCTTACATTAGATCATTAACTCAATAGATGAAAGATGCTCTTTGGAAAACAAACCAATGCAAGGCATGTTTTAACTAAGCACAAACATAACGCATGCCATATGCTTTCGGAATATTTGCTGCTATCAGTGAAGCTACATGGATATTACAGAGTTAGTTGAAACTGTCAGTAACTTACTCCAGAGAAAAGTTGGGTACGTTCTCCACACCAGTGTCGGCGTGCCCCACGGGCTCAACACGGCTGCTGTCTTCCTCCGTGCCATCCTCATCCTAGAGAGGGCACAACACAAAGAGAAGCACACTGAGTCAGGTTTATTCTTACGCAGTGAATGAAAGGAAACTGAATAAAACTGGAGTCTAAGAGGCATTGTGATAATGTTAACAATATCTCTCCTCTAGCAAGGATGACCTTTAATGATAAGATGGGTTTGTACATGTGAAAAGCTGCATTTTAAAGCAACAGTCTCCTGAGTTAGTACATCTTAGGGGGTGAACAAGATGCCACTGCAATAAGGAAAGAAAACATTAGAACTTATATTAACCCTCTTATCATTTTTATTTCACTTTTTGGTGTATGTTTTAGGAAGTAATTACATATTACTACAATGTTACAATAAACTAATAAATAAACGTACATTACACTGGGGATGCATGGTTAACATTTATACTAATCCAAACAGTTGAGATCATTATAAACCTTAACAACTAGCAAAATCTTCAGTCCTATTGTCAGTTCCCCAGCTCCTATTAACACGCCTTGTCAAAATGAACATCAAGTAAGCACAGTCCTAGACTTAGATACTTCATCCTGTGAAATCTCACCTAAAGTTACCCTAAGCCAATCGACTGATCATTTAGAGGTAAAGGCATTAAGATCTTAGCCATGAGGGCTTCCCTGGTGGCGCAGTGGTTGAGAGTCCGCCTGCCAATGCAGGGGACACGGGTCCGTGCCCCAGTCCGGGAAGATCCCACATGCCGCGGAGCGGCTGGGCCCGCGAGCCATGGCCTCTGAGCCTGCGCGTCCGGAACCTGTGCTCCGCAACGGGAGAGGCCACAACAGTGAGAGGCCCAGAGGCCCGCATACCGCAAAAAAAAAAAAAAAAAAAGATCTTAGCCATGAAGAACCACTTGTGCTTACTTCTGTTACAAAGGACCCAGTGCCGGGAAAGGCACAAAGAGTAAGATAGCCAACCCCAATAACCACCACTGCATTCTTCCTTTTAGAAAGGCAATAGTTTGTAAAAATTAAACATGCTGTAGAGATTGGGTAAACATGCTGGTCCTTCAAAAGGTGCATGTGGAATAAATGTGATGGTTCATAAAAGTAAATGAAATGTCACCCAAGAATATGCCTTACTTTATAATCTTGGCCACTGTCTTTTCACTAAGCAGTTCACTAACAGTGACGTTGGCTTTGCAGGATCATCTGAATAAGGATAAACGTGCCTGATGATATCAATGGTCCTATTATCCAAATTAGAATATTCAGAAAAGACTCCGAATCTCCAAACACAGTGGCTAAGGGGCTCATGAGGGTTTCACCTTGGATCCACAACGTGCATAATTTATGTACACGTACAATTTGTTAGGTTTACCTTTTCTACTGTATAAATTTGATAACAGTGAGTTTATATGTGAACTTAACTAAACCACCTAATGAGAGTCCACCATTAGAGAAAAACTGTATATTTTTAACCATGTATTTAAGACTCATAGTAGAAATATATACAGCATCAACAGAGACATCAATCAACAAAATGATAAGCAAAGGTTATAGGTTCAAGACACAGCATCAAACAATATTTCAAATTACTGAAGCAATATGAAGGCAAGGCAGGGCAGTTGGTAATGCCCAACTGACTGTTCCTCTGAGAATCTACCAAAAGAAGCTGAATGCACCGAGTTTTTCTCTGAGTTTAGATAGGCTCCGTGCATCCTCAATGGCAAGGCACTGCATGAAGTCAAGCTACTTGAAGATTGATGACCCTGTGTTCTGAGAGGCTCTAATATGTAGTTCTTAGCCACCTATCTCTTTTAAGCACCAGCACATAATACATTTCAAAGGTTAACCAGCATCTTGAACCTGCCTAAGAACCACACTTCATGTAAACAATAACTCCCCAAATTATGCTTTTCCATTAGGAGTGGGGGTAGGGAGGAGAGAAGTGTGATTGTATTTATATAAATCAGATGGAAAACATACAAACAGTCTTATGGGTTAAAGACATTTTGTTTCAGGATTCATTAATAATGTAAACACTGCTGAAACACCACCATGATGTACAACCAACAGAAACAGCTATGTGGCACTGTGAAATGGCCACATAAATGAAACACCCCAAACTACAGTGATGAAACAGTAACTGATAATTGACACATTCATTGTTCCCACAGTGGCCATTATCAGGTCCCCAAGAGCATGCAGAATATTATTTCATGTAGCTGCATATGGTGTTCAGTTATTTTGCAAAATTCACCGCCCTGAGGCTGAGCTGCAATTGCTGTGGGAACCACAGTGTCTGGATGTGTACAGATCAGCTCCTATATTGCTTTATTTTGTTGTTTTGTACTTTTTAAAGCTACAGCTGAACATAGTCACTTTTAGTAGGAGTTAGACACTGAATTCCGTCATAACCATAGTAAATGAAGCTCAGTTATTATGTACGTCAAATCAAGATGGAAGGTCTAGAGTATCAATTTAAGCTACATAGTGTTAAAAAAATTTTTCAGGTGAGTCAATGTACTTTTTGTCCTTTACCTTCTCTCCATTTTACAGCAGAGTGTAGTGGTTAAGAGTTCAGATTAGAAAATTAAACAAATGGAGATGTGAACACTAAGTGTGTCATCTGCCAATTTTATATCCTTAGGAAAGTTATATACCCCTTTCGTATCTCTATCCCTTCTTCTGTAAACTAGGAACAATAAATGCATCTTCTTTGTAGGACTACTGAGAGGAGTAAGTAAGATAATCCACATCACAATCATAACATAACACCTGATACATGGTAATTGACAATAAATGTTAGCTGTTACCGAAAAGAGAAATAAACAATAAATATATGACATATAAAACATACCTTAGTAATTGTTTTAGGGTAATGTTACACAGCTATAAAATATTTTGAGAATATATATTTGTCCATACATACCTTGTGCCTTGCAGTAAAATTTAATATTAAACATATTACCTACTCAGTTAATTACAAACTGTATCATCTGCATTTTATAAAGTTGCATAAAACCCGACATTTGTTCCACTTTGTTGTATACAACGTGCTTTAATCATAAAAGGCCTCCGGAATGAGAAAACATATTAAAAAATATAAACAACGAATGCTGTATACAATCCAGTAAATGGTGGGAAGAAGAAAACACCATGGGTTGTTAGTTGAGGAAATTTTCAAAGATAAAATAGATGTGAAGAACCGTGAAGGGTCTATGATTTCACCCTACTTGAAAGCTCACAGTGAGCCTGCCATAGCTTAATGGATGTCACAGAGGACACGAGACTCCCGGATCAGAGACAAAGGACAGTTCATTACAGCAACAGCATTAGCCAGAGCATCATCCTTTTATGCACTGACTCCTAAGCTAAAATTCTCAGGGGCCCACACAGAAGAAACATAAGCCCAGGGAACTCGAACCTTTTACATAGGCAGTAAGCATGTCCGCCCACTGCTTTGGAAAGAGACACTATGCCTATCTTCCAAGGCTTCTTTCAACACATTGCTGAAAGAAGAGTCCAGAACAAAGGCCTTTATTCTCAAGATGTACAAAAATGCAAGAGAACCATGGAGAATTATCTCCCAACAACAGAGTTCAATCTGAACATTGCCAAGTGGTAGCATTTATATGATCACTAGCATACTAAAACTGGGAATATGATTAACAAATGCTCTATGATAACAATGTCTTTTGAATGGTAACATTAAATTGTACTAGATAAAAGAGTCATACCTTCTATATCAAGGAAAAACTAATTTTTCAATGTGGAACAATATGCCCAGCCAAACAAAAAAAGCAAGTGTGAAAATTCAAAAAACCTCTCAGACATGCAAAGTGTTTTCTTCCCATGGACCCTTCCACATAAAGCTATTTTTGGATGTGCTCCAGCAAAATCCAGAAAATTCAATAAAACAATGGACAAAACCCAAGGAGAGTCCCAGAATATGGTGACAGTCTAGAGAAGCAAAAACAAGTTCAGATTAGAGCAGCAGGATGGAGAGGTCTGGAAGTCAATCTCCACGAGAAAAAAAAAAAATAATAATAATAATAATATTATTAAAATAATATTTTTGAACATTTGGGAAACATTTTGACAGACCTGATAGAGAACAGGGGGAGGGGAATTAAAGATATGTATAGAGAAAACAAAACAAATTTTTAAAAAGTCAAAGCAACTAGCTCCAAGCACAACAAAGGGAAATGTGTAGGAAAGGACATGTAATCAGAGTACCTACTTGGTTATGCAGTGAGCAGTTCTTACATCACCATACAATGTGACACTGCCTACTGACTTCACTCGGACTTTTCATGTAACAATACTGAGAGGATGGGAATGGGGAAAGTGAAAGTGGCATCAAAGGAAAAACCCCATCTTCCATAAATGGCAAGTCAACAGATGTCAGTAACTGGTAACCAGGAAAGAGCAACATAAATATTTTATTCGGAAACATGGAAGTAAACAGCAGAACCAACATCTGCATAAATTGGGAGTTGCTGCCTCTGGGGAGAGGGGCTGGGGAAACGAGAGGAGAAAAAAGAGACTGCTAGTTTCCCCATTAAACGCCTTCCAGATGATAGATCTAAGTTTATTCTGACTACATATTTGAAATACCCACCAAGAGAGGCTCTTTAGATCCACCTCAACATCCAGACTCTCAAGACCCCCAAATGCCACCTGGCATCAGATTTACTGCAAAGGATAAAAGGCAGGAAACCCAATTTGCCAGCAAGGCAGTGTCCCGCTTTTGTCCTTGGCAGGAGCCATCCTTGAAGAGGTCCAGGGTCTCTTCCTGTGTGTCCCCCAAATGACAGCTCAGGTGCGAGGGGGGGGGGAAGAGACTCACATGGGCTGGATGCAAAGCGCTACCCTGGCTTGGGAGCCTCCTGTCTCAGAGAAGCCAGTATGTCTCATGACACCGCCATAGGGACAGCTGTTTGTCAGCTAGTTACAGTTTTTCGAGTCTAGATGCAAATTACCAATCAAAATAACTTAATTACCATACAAAGATACTTTACGGAAACTAACAGGTTTCCAGAAAAAGGAA